TTAGAGGGCGCTATTTATGTAGTGCAAAGCCATTGGAGCGTGAAATTTGGCGTGGCTATGTGCAATTATGAGATAAAGATACTGTGAAATTTAAATACAAAACGGAATTTATATGAGAAAGTTATGGCAGTTTTAGATTATTTAGGGGTCCATTTTTCAAGAACTTGAGAGATTTTTGACGGAGTCGGTTTTAGATTTGAATTTCGAGTATGAAGATGGCATTTTGAAGGTCAAGTCATTTGTCGCAGATGAAAGAACATCTCTCAGACTATCGAGAGGAATTTGTTAGAAGTTTGTAGGATCTAGGATAGTGGAAATAGGAAGGAAGATAAAAAGGCCTTAAAATGGACCAGAAACGGACAAAATGGCGCCTGGACGGTCATGCATGAGTGATTACGAAAATCGAAGAATGTAGTGACCTTGATGCGATGTTAGAGACTATGCCTATGAAATTTGAAAGGAAACGGACATGAGGAAAGGGCATAATTAGTGATAACAAGCACTACGTGCAATACGAATGGGATTTCCGGACGATAAGAAGAACCAAGAATATTAATAACGTGAACGAAAACAAGGCAATGACGAAGGTCGTCATTGCAATGAATTCAATATATTATTAAAAAGGCAACGAAGCGGAACTTGGGGTATATAGCTACTGGCCACGCCAACCCGATGCGAGTAAAGGATACAACACCATTTTACGCTCCACACTGGTCAATTTATGTATTTTATCGTGAATTCACCCGTTTAGGGGGCACTTGAACAATAGGACGTGTGTGAGTGCAATTGGGGTTTTACAGATGTGTATCCATCAGATATGATTAGTAACGTCTGGGTCCGACCTTTAACGTCACCATCCGAAAGACGGGCATGCAAAGGCTTTGGTCTTATACTAGTCAGGTGGCTAGTGAAATTACCGTTACTTGCCGGATAAAAGCACTGATGTTGGTACATGCGCTTCCTTAGGACCTACTAGACGATATTAGGGTACGTGCCCCCGGCAACAATTTTAATTTAAAGGTGTGGGGGCGGGGGCTTCTTTTCGGAGCCCACAAATAATTTAATAACAGTAATTTTTTGTTGTACAAATGCCATTTTTGGTACAGGGTTTCCTTAGGACCTACTAAACGATATTAGGGTAGGAGCCCCCGGCAAAACATGTGGGGCGGGAGCGTCGCCTCGTAGCCCACTAATAATTTATTAGGTTATATAACATTGAGCTATTATTTGGGGGCTACAATAAGACGCCCCTTACCCACACCCTTAATTTGAATTTTTCCAGGGGCTCCTAGTCTTATATCGTTAAGTGGGTCCTAAGGAAGCCCTGTACCTAAAATGGTGCTTTTATTCGGCAAGTAACGATAATCGATAACTCTGACGCTAAGCCACCTGACTATTACTCGGAAAATGAGATGCGAATTTCCAAGGGAATTGATAGGGGGGTACTCAAGGCGTCATATTTTCTGGTCCTTTCCCCGTATCCGACCCTTATTCATTTTTTTGTCGCTCTGTATGTCTCTCTATATTTTTTTTCTCATCACTCGATAGAAGGGGGGGCTACGTGCTTCCTGTCCGCTGAAGCTGTGTCACGGTGATCAGGAGCAATAAAGTGCATTTTCCCTTTCCCCGGAAGTATTGTGTAGCTTCATATATGTACAGCCTTTATTATGGGGGAAAGGGTTATATTTCCGAAATTTCGGAGATAAAAAGACATGCTAAACGATTCATTACGTCTTACACGGTTCCTACATGTTGTAAGTTTGCCTGTGAAACAAGAAACGGAAAAATCCATTCAGATTTAAGTTGCTTGTATAGATAGATTTCAGCGATTATCTAGAATATTGTTACATAATATATAAATTTATATTTTGTTCCCCTTCCACAGGGTTCCTTTATTAAATAATATCGTATATATACAAGAATAGATATATACATGCATAATAATGATATGCTTGGCCATTCAAAATATAAAAACATACATTGCTATCGGAAGCGATGTAATATCCTCAGTCCACGGACATCCAGTTAAATTTTTAGGATTACTTATCACATTCTCTATGAAAACTTCTGAAATCTTCGGATATCTGAAAGAAAAAATAGAATCCACTCTCAAAATTTTTAATAATTATAAGTGTAACATTCGAAACGAATATAAAGTATTTTTACTCACTAGATATGCACTCCCGTCTCTCCGTTTCATGCTTACCGTTCATGATGTCCACGCAACGCATTTGAAATCTCTTGACATAATATTATATAGATATACTAAGTTATGGTTAAGAATACCGTTACGTGGTGCCAATCTTGCTGTGGTCCACGACCCTGATGGCTTGAACATACCTTCCATTTCGGACCTTTACCAAACCTGCCATGCTGCCCTTGACCGAAGAATAGATATAGAAAGGGGGTGGTTACGACAAACGTCGTTCACTTTGGAAGCACATGAAATTCACTCAAAAATAACAGACTCTGTAAGCTGGAACCAGACAAAAAATATGATTAAAAATCAGTTCAAGATGTATGTAGAGAAAATTGGAAAAGGTTGATCGAACCAATACTTGTACAGGGAGGATTCATGAAAGTTGTTATCACACATATTGTTACATTGTAATTGCAATGACGAATATTTTATATTATTATTGTTAATGTACTTTGCTATTGTATACAGTTTTGATTATAACCTGCCGCCTAACCCACTGGGTTGACGGGCCTGGTTTTATGTGTATGCAAAATCTCTAATAAAGACTTGATTTATCATCATATATAAATCAGTTACGAATTGTAGTTCACTTTTTTTTTTAAATATTACAGATTTACTTGGCAAAATAATTTTAGAAGAAATAAACAATCAGACAAAATTTGCAAAAAGTAACGACATTTTCAAAGATTTCTTTCTTTCAGATTTGTTTTTACATATACTTTTCCATGTCATAATAACACTTTATCGCTGATATTATGTGATAAAAAGCTGGTAAACACTGTTTGCATTTGGCTGCAAAACTTTCTTTCCTACTACAATCATAATACAGTTGAGGGCACTGTTTTTATTTTAAAAATTTATTTTAATTTTTTAAACTTAATAAGTACATTATTACGAGACAGCCAATACTCAAGTTTTGACCATATTTCGTTTGAATAAATATAATAACAACATTTATGTTTAATCTTTTCTTCACTGTTATTACAGAATGTACATAAGTTATCTGTAACTAATTTATACATTAACAAAGCATCTTTCATATAAATAATTCTATTCAGTATCTCGAACTGAAACCATCTCATGTTTACATCTTTTTTGGGGGGAAGAGCCCCCGTGGACAAAAAGTTAATTTGAGCCCTGCACAGGGGGAACGTCCCCCCGGTCAAAAAAGTGTTACAACCAGCTCCAAATTCGCCAAAAATGTACTGGAAAACAGGGACGTGCCCCCCCCCCCCCGGCCAAATTTTTTTTTAATGTGCTCTTACCCCCCCCCCCCCCCCCCCCCCCCCCCACCACCAATTAAGGTTCGAATGAATTCTCAAATATCAAAAACTCGAATTAAAATCTAGAAGCTTTCATTCTTCAGAGTTTCTAAAGAATTGATATATATACAAATATGTAAAAACATATATTCAACTACAAATATATACAACTAAATTAATCTAACCCCTTGTAAATTTGTCGTATTTTGTGGTTTTCATAACTCAAAATGAAAGGGGGACTGGTTGTATGAAAGGCTTTTTGAATACTCTTAGACTCAAGGTTTGATAATGTCACATTATCAAGGAAGACAAATTAGGAGAAGAAAAAATTGTTCACATAAAAATAAATGACAATATATAAAAAGGGTTCGAATGATTTACTTACTTACTTACTTTAATACACGATGTTGTAGGTCTAAGCCTGTTCGTCGATCCAGGATTCTTCCATGGTAACTGCGATGTGTGGAGGGAGGAGGTTGTGTAAAACATGAAACAACAGACAACACCTAGACCGGCTCATACAGTAGGCTAGCATTCTTTGACCAGTGACTATCCAGTCTATTCTTAAATGAGTTGACTGACCCAGCTGCCACAACGTTTTCTGGGAGACTGTTCCACAGCTCCACGACTCTATTGCTAAAAAAGTATTTTCTGATATCTAGCCTTGAATATTTCTTTTCCAGTTTTCTAGAGTGACCTCGAGTTCTATCTTCTGTACTCAACTTAAAGGGAATCTCTGGCACATTGTACAAGGCATTCAAGTACTTGTACACATCGATCATGTCCCCCCCCCCCCCCTCCCCTTCTACGCCTGTGAACAAGAGTTGGTAATTGGAGTTGGGTCAAGCGCTCCTGGTAAGAAAAATTTCTAAGGCCAGGAATAATCTTTGTTGCACGTCTTTGTACGCTTTCCAACATCCTCTGTTCTCCTAGTCTATACGGGGACCATGCGGCCTTTCCGTATTCTAATATGGGCCTAACGAGGCCTTTAAACAAAAACGGCATAGTGTCAGTATTTAGGTACATAAATGTCCTACGGATAACTCCGAGTACTCGATTTGCTTTGAGAACTGTTTTGGGAGACGTGATCTTTAAATGATAGTTGTGAATCTACAAGGACACCTAGGTCCTTTTCGACTTTGGTAACAGATTTAGATTTAGATTTAGATTTAGATTTTTGATTTAGTTATAAATTGTAAAATACAGGTATTTTATATCGAAGGTTCAGTGACACAAAGACGTAACTCCACATTTTGCCAAAATGAGTATTTTATATTAATATGTTCAAAAAAATGTGTGCTTTCCAGGAAACACAAAGACTGAACTCCACCAACACCCCATTGATTTCAAAGGCTAGTGAAACGTAGACTTAGCTCGTTAAGGCCCAAGTGTTCAGTGACACATAAACCACTTTTTTTTTTCTTAAAATGGCCAAAATGGAGTTACGTCTTTGTGTCACTGACCCCTTGATATATACATATATATACATAAAGAAATATATCAGGAATGACATTAGAAATCATGTGGGAAGCCGGTTGGTTTAATGCAAGAGGTTGACCAGAAATCGTGTATGGAAGGATGCTCCTTTTCCTCTCCCTGGTACTCACCCTTGTAACGACCGGTTAATTTCTTTTCATAATCCAATACTTTCGCGACTACTTTACACATAAATGGTGCAGATTTAAGTGCCTTTTCTCTAACGCTCCGTACTGACCCTTGCTTCTTCCATTCAAAATATGAATTGTACAATGTCTCATTTGAATCAAGAAGATGTATATAATCGGCGAGCTCAGCAAAATCTTTAAAATCCTGTAGATGTATAAATGAATTGGGGGGGGGGCGCGCAACGCGCTCATAATCTTCCCGTGGAGGGCCATAGACGATGGGTACAATGTCATGGCTGAGAGAATTCCACCAGACCTTTTCTGTGATGTAGTCTCTGCATTCACTGTTTTCCACTGCCAGGTAAAACTTATGACTCCTAATGCGCTTCCAGCAGTCATCTGAGTTCCTAGGACACTTTATGTTCCCACAACCTCCATACATGTCGACGCTGACGTGCTTTGCAAGTGTTTTAACAAATGCATGACGCCTCCAAGAAGCTTTACGGCAATTGGATGCAGCCCAGGCCACTAATCCAGTTTTTTCCTTGGCCCAATATAGATTTTTATCAGAAGAAATCTGCGGTATGGTCTCATCATAGAAACCATACGGTAAGTGTATCGTTGACGATGGCCTGTATGACATCGTGTAGTTGTATATGCGGTCATATTTACTGGGTGGTATTGCATTTCCGTTCGTGTGTCGAGGACTCTCTAAGGAATAGAAAACCCAGGCTTGATTTAATGGGCGTCTCCTTTGCATCTCTGTCCAATCCCACCGCGATCGATGAAAGAAAACTACGGAGTCACTTTTCACCATGGTCTCATAACTCGTATCCTCGACCAAGCTAATTCCACATTCAAGCCCTGGGCATTGAGATTTTTCCGGCGTCTGGGGGCTCGCGCTGCCTCTCCATATCTGGACCTGACGGTAACAAAGTGGCTTACTTTCAGATTGCGATGTTTCATTTTGAAGGTGGGAAGAACTCTCCACGTCAGCTTCTGGTTCAAGCAGGTTGTTTCTTACTCCGCTAGCATTCCGAAGTGTGGAGCAATCGGGGGCGCGTTGTGAATATCGTTCTGGTTGTTCCTAAGAAGATCAAATCGGTAAAATTCACCAATTGAAAAAAACGTAAGCGCTGCTAGACAAAATGATATCACCTTCTTACCATTCATATCTTTCATGGTTACTCTCTTGTGCTCCACGTAGCTACACCAATGTTTCGAAGTAAACACCAAGTTTAGTAGAATTTGACGCCAATACTACCATCTATATACGACATTCATAAAGCATAAACCATATTGGGCTTCATACCCAAGTGCGTGCTGTCTCGGAATAAGCGTTCACCTGATGATGATTATAGCTGGCCGTTGGGGTCGACATAAGTTTTTTCCAGTAAGTTTTGGATTTCCCATATGTACTACCAAACTTTAAAGCCGCATAAAAATCCAGTGTAAATATGTATTGCTACAAATGCCAAAATTCGGTCATTTGAGCAAAAAAATGTCGCTCAAAAAGCCAGCGTTGTTAAAGATGTTGTGGAGATTGCCCTTATCAAGAATTGGCGTCCAAATTCGTGAATTGTTCAGGCCCACACTCGGCAGCTTATCCAAGATGCCCAAAGTACAAGAATTAAAAAAAAAACCGTCTCAAAATGAAAAGTGACCCAACCCTTTCCTATGCTGAAGCAGCTAAACAAATCAAAACAAAACCCGTTATGAATGCTCTAGCTTCAAAAGAGATAAGTATCCAAAGAAACTCAACCCCAAATCACACCATTGATAATGCTAATCCTGAGCCGATTATGACTATAAAACAAGACGCCCATCCCACGCAAGCCTTGGCGGAAATCGATGGATAGCGTCAATAAAGCCAACAACAATAACAACAAGGTAACAATCGTGACTATGTGAATGACCCCAATGTTCCATCAGGAGCAGGAACAGGAATGCGTTCAATTCCAAAACAAAGAGAACATTACGTCCCTCCATAACCCTTGAACCACATCCAAATAAAGGACAGTTTCGTCGAGTTTTTGGCATACATAGTAATAATATCTGACAAAAGCAGAAAACGAGTTGGAAAACATAGTGCAAATAGTAACTGAAAAGAGAAAAGGCATTTTAAACATAAAAATAGAACCTACGACGTTGATGGCGCTCTTGCAGGATGAGAGAACGCAGCTATCGTGTTCGCTTGTTTTATATATATATATATATATATATTTGTTTAAATAACGGTATAGTTACAGACCTCCACTGATACAAGACCCTTATATAGTTATAATGAAAAATGCACCATATCATTATATGAAAATATAACAAATTTTGTTATCATGGGTTATGAAGCAGCACCTTCACCTTATACTTTTTGTTTATATAAGAAAATCTTTGTTCAGATTGCTCAATTTATAATGAACTAATTAATTTGCATATTATGTTGTAAAAATTGTTCCTTTTTATAATGTTTTATCCAAAAATATAAATATGAAGTATTACCGTCACCTTTTCCTTTTTTAAAGGAATTGGAGCACATTCTGTACACTTGTTTGAATGTGTACTATATTAGTTTGGATACTTATGGAAAATATTTTTAAAATATGTCTGTGTTTACATTGTATGAGACAATGTACTACATGTATGTTTATACTGTAAGAACAATTGTGTTCCTATTCATCATTTTGTATAATTACAAAATGTATGAAGATCTGAATTAAGGCAAAAAAGCTTTTAAAAAAAAGAAGTGAGAAATATGACTGCATGGTGACGCAATCCAAGTGTTGTACATAGCGCAGTGGAATGCACACGGTTTAATCCATTGCATGGATGAATGTCAACATTACATTTATAATCTAAACGAAAAACCGCATGTTATATGTATTCAGGAAACGTGGCTTAAAGACGAGAACTGTAAATCATTTCAGGATTATAATGGTTCGTATTTATAAGAAACACATTTCCCAGAGGTGGGTGTGTTATACTAGAAATGATAGCATAGTTGTATCTTATTATACAGAGAGAACAAAAGAACCAAGTGGGGAGCTTCAAACCCTGGAGTGCACGATCCAAAACAAAAAATATTATTGAAAACTTGTATAATCCCTGCAAAAGACTAAGTAAAACACATCTATTACCACAATGAACATAACTTGTAACTTGGTAATTTGTGGTGATTTCAATGGACATAACACTTAGTTAACCGACCGGGAATTGAACCTCGGTCTCCAGAATGGAAGACAAGTGCTTTGACCAATATACCAAAAAGACTCCACATAGACATAACACGTAAACGGAAAATTGAATTCTCAAATCACATCTCGTACTTAAAATATCGCCATGATCCCAATATCTGATTTAAAATATATATACATATTCCCATTTAGCCTACAATCTATCAGAGTAATAAGAGTAACTGAACGTGACATTCGTGAATAAGTATACTTTGTGTTGCTGATCGGTCTTGAAAGTTGATACGCACCGAATTTGTTGGTTATAATACCACGAGAATGACCACGACCAGGATATCACAAGTTCGATAGAATAACACTTTAATTATATCTAAGCTTGATGGAAGAACACTTTCGATATATCAGGCTCCAAAGAAAACACTTTCGATAAACCAAGCTTGATAGGAAAACACTTTAGTTTATATTAAGCTTAATAAAAAAACACTTTCGATATACCGCCGGCCAAATGAATTTTTGGTTTCCTTCCTTCAAACTGCTTTTAATCATGCATGCGTGAAATATGCATCATAAATTATTATGAGTTGTATCAAATGAAAGAGGAGGATATAAGCTTTACAAATATGTGTCATTCATTGATCATAATTGTGATTAAATTAGGATAAAACATCGATAATTCTCGGTTTCGTTTTCTTTGGGTCGCACTGTATATACCTCTCTCTCTCTCTCTCTATACTTAGCTTTGATCTATCGTTCCGTACAGTGCTCAATGCCTAAAGACAGAGCAAAAATATATATTGAATAAGGCAGACTAGTGGAAATGGTTGCTACTCCGAGTTTCACGCCTTGCGAGCAATCATCAGGCAACTGGTAGCATTCTTAAAAGTACATGATTACTCTACAACCTGGGTGCAAATACGTTCAAAATAAGACTTAACTCATACAATATAATGCAACAACATACATGTAGGTGAGTATTATGGCGAAGATTTTTTTTATGGGCTAAAAATGCTACAAAGAAAAACAAACATAACAAGCAACAAAGGCAATATCTTCAATTAAACTCTTAAAAGACACTTCATATTGCACACGGAAATACATCTTTGACAATAGGGACTTTTAGATTCTGCACGACGATAACGTGGACTGCCCTTTTAAGGCAATGTGACGTCACTGCCAGTCACATGCCTTAAAAGGGCAGTCCACGTTCTCGTCGTGCAGAATCTAAAAGTCCCTAATATCAGCGCATTTTGATGATATCCTTTTGGACCAGGTTCACACGAACTGCATGGCCTGAACTGGGCATTCCTACACCATTCGAAATGGGGACTCATTCCAAAGAGAAATAATATGCTTCCTTTTTAAATGACAACAAAAAAAAGGTAGATGGGATAATGTTGAAAAATTAAAAGCCCGTTAAAACAGTTGTAGGTCTTCTTTTTTTATCAAATAGAGTGTATTTCGTCCATAATTAAGTGTAATTAATCAACCATGATTATAACTGATCTAACGGGAATTCTAAGGTTATACCGCAACAGTGAACAATAAATTCAATATATTATTAAAAAGGCAACGAAGCGGAACTTGGGGTATATAGCTACTGGCCACGCCAACCCGATGCGAGTAAAGGATACAACACCATTTTACGCTCCACACTGGTCAATCTATGTATTTTATCGTGAATTCACCCGTTTAGGGGGCACTTGAACAATAGGGCGTGTGTGAGTGTAATTGGGGTTTTACAGATATGTATCCATCAGATATGATTAGTAACGTCTGGGTCCGACCTTTAACGTCACCATCCGAAAGACGGGCATGCAAAGGCTTTGGTCTTATACTAGTCAGGTGGCTAGTGAAATTACCGTTACTTGCCGGATAAAAGCACTGATGTTGGTACATGCGCTTCCTTAGGACCTACTGGACGATATTAGGGTACGTGCCCCCGGCAACAATTTTAATTTAAAGGTGTGGGGGCGGGGGCTTCTTTTCGGAGCCCACAAATAATTTAATAACAGTAATTTTTTGTTGTACAAATGCCATTTTTGGTACAGTGTTTCCTTAGGACCTACTAAACGATATTAGGGTAGGAGCCCCCGGCAAAACATGTGGGGCGGGGGCGTCGCCTCGTAGCCCACAAATAATTTATTAGGTAATATAACATTGAGTTATTATTTGGGGGCTACAATAAGACGCCCCTTACCCACACCCTTAATTTGAATTTTTTCCAGGGGCTCCTAGTCTTATATCGTTAAGTGGGTCCTAAGGAAGCCCTGTACCTAAAATGGTGCTTTTATCCGGCAAGTAACAATAATCGATAACTTTGACGCTAAGCCACCTGACTATTATTCGGAAAATGAGATGCGAATTTGCAAGGGAACTGATAGGGGGGTACTCAAGGCGTCATATTTTCTGGTCCTTTCCCCATATCCGAACCCTTATTCATTTTTTTGTCGCTCTGTATGTCTCTCTATATTTTTTTTCTCATCACTCGATAGAAGGGGGGGGGTACGTGCCCCCTGTCCGCTGAAGCTGTGTCACGGTGATTAGGAGCAATAAAGTACATTTTCCCCGGAAGTATTGTGTAGCTTCATATATGTACAGCCTATATTATGGGGGGAGGGTTATATTTCCGAAATTTCGGCGACAAAAAGACATGCTAAACGATTCATTATGTCTTACACGGTTCCTACATGTTGTAAGTTTGCCTGTGAAACAAGAAACGGAAAATCCATTTAGATTGAAGTTGCTTGTATAGATAGTTTTCAGCGATTATCTAGAATATTGTTACATAATATATAAAATTATATTTTGTTCCCCTTCCACAGGGTTCCTTTATTAAATAATATCGTATGTATACAAGAATAGATATATACATGCAGAATAATGATATGCTTGGCCATTCAAAATATGTAAACATACATTACTATCGGAAGCGATGTAATATCCTCAGTCCACGGACATCCAGTTAAATTTTTAGGATTACTTATCACATTCTCGATGAAAACTTCTGAAATCTTCGGATATCTGAAAGAAAAAATAGAATCCACTCTCAAAAATATTAATAATTATAAGTGTAACATTC